AGCTACTGAAAGGCAAACAGAGCCACTAGGTATTAGGAGGGCAGGTAAATAGGACATTTTAAAGACTGGAAGGCAGTGTATGAGAGGGGGAGAAGGTAGATGTGGTTTTTGCTTTGGAGAACCCAGTTTAATTGAAGTCGGAATACAAACTTCTTCATGTGCTGCCTATTTTCTTTCTGAGGTTGTTCAGTTTTCTTTATTTTTCATTAGGTAAGCCTACCTGAAAACAACAGCTAGCCTGCTTACTCTGTATCTGCTTATGTGATGATGATCACTTCAGTTTTCTTAGGAAACTAGGCTGGGGGGGGAAAAAAAAAAAAGTCCAGTAGTTTGACCAGCAAGCTTAGGAGTGCAGCAGAGATTCTGCATTATCACTGAAGCCACTGGTCTGCCTCAGAAAAGAGCAAAAGACATCCTTTGGCATCTAGCTTGGATAATGCTTTCTTAGATGGATGTTTTTACCCAAGTTCTGGTGTTTCAAGTCCTTTTTTCCACCAGTGCTTTTCTGTTATCACTTCTGGGTTTTTTTTTATTTTCTTTGTTTTCCCCTATATAAATATCCAGTTAGTCTTTAACCCTGGATAAGTTTTGGGATTGCAGTGGTAGTGTCCTCCTTCAGTTTCAAATTTGCCATTATTCTTCAGTGTTGTGGTATATTTTCTTATTCTTGTTTTTCACACAGAAAGGAAAACAAGACTTTCCATTATGTTTTTTAGGTACTACTTATTAAATATAATATCTTTGTAATATTTTATTTGTAAGTAATACTGTTTTTTTCAACCTCCATGTAATGATTTTTCCTACATTTCCTATAACATTTTTTTCCCTTCTATTTTAGCGCCTGTAATACATTTCTGAGCAGGCAGGGAAAATATCGAATATAACACTTTGTATGGGAGTAAATTACTGATTTATGGTATTGATGTTACAATAATTTCTGCATGACACTTCTATTTTTATGAATACTAAACGTTTTATATGCTTTTTGATATATCATCACATAACTGTCTACAGTGTGCCTGCTTTCACTTCTGGACTTGATGAAGTTGATTTAGATTCCAGTAATAAGGTTAGTTTCTGTTTCGGCTTCAGTCTGCCTTTTTAATTGAAACTAATCTTCCATTAGTTTACCAAGGGTGCTACTTGTTTCAAATACCTGAAGGTGGTCATGAGCTTGCTCTTCTGCAGTCTTTCAGCCCATCCCTGCTTTTTGAAGTGCAGTTACACCTCAGTTAAGTATTGCATAACTTTTCAACTAGCAGCATTAAATACTGTAACGGCAACAGGTCAGTTACTTCATTATTGAGATCACTGTAAATTCTGGAACACACACTATTTGTGCCTCAAACTTATTTTCTTTGTTTAATTTTGCTCCAGCAAAGTAAGAAGTACTACAAGGCATGCTATGCCAAACAATACTATTGTGGTTATTTTTAAGTAAGTTTGTTGGCACTAAAACACGGAAGTAAAATTCAAGCAAACATGACTGAAGTTGGAATGAAACCCACTTATCTCTTTTATTGGAGATGGTGTTTGGCAAGTAGGTCTGGATCCCAGAAGTAGTTCTGTACTGTAATCAAGCCTGCATGTGGAAAGAAATAAAAGGGGCACTTGGGAGATGTTGGGGGTCATTGGCTTTCTCTTTGGTCCTCACCAGATTTTCTCTTCCCTCTTTCTCCCTCTTAGGCCACACGTTCCCTCCCTGTTTCCAAATCGCTGAACTGGTATGATGCTTACCAATGAAGGATTCTGCTTCTGTAAAGATTATCTTAAATTCAGTTTTTGTCTGCCTATTGTCGTCTCACTTATCGCCATCTTTAAATGCTATGTAATGCTGTCCACCCATTTAAAAACTCTGTAGTTTCTGCCACATTTTAAAATTTAAATGGCCTTTATATTTAAATTGAAATTTCAGAGTAATAATGTGTCTGTTGTGTTAGAGCTAGGGGCAGGAGACTAAAAGAAAGCTCTATTCTGAATATTCCCACACATCTTTTCCCTCAAATTCTACAGCTGTTTTATCCCTTCATAAATCTTTAATCAGAGGATTTCAATACTTAATTACAAAAAAAATGTACCCTCACATCATTCCTTTGCTGTCAGCCAGTATTTTCCGTATTATGTGGATAAGTTAGGCATTTAAGGGACTAAGTGATTTTTGCAAAATGGCATGGGAAGCCACTGGCAGCCTCTAAGACTTTTGGTTTATAAGCCTGTAATCTGCTGACTTGACACTAACATTCTTTTCAGCTGGCATATCAAATGGAAACACCCTAAATCCCGGTTGGGACTAAGAAGAGTTATTCTGAGATGAGAATTGCTGCATAAATGTGTTAATGCTGTGATTATCAGTGTCGAGGATGCACCAAACAAAAAATGAATAAATATACAGGATTGGAATGTAAGTGCTTTAGGGATGTGCATGCAAGGTGACTCTTCAGGTCCAGCCACAGCAGTGTAGCAAAATGACTTACATGGCACTCAACAGCTGTGGCAGTAGGGATGAAAGCTAACAGTATTTATCCTAACATCCCTAAGGAGGCGGCAGGGAAAGGTGACTTGGACAGGCCTGGTAGAATTTTCTCTTCCTCTCACATGCACACAATTTTTTTTGCTGTTACGTGTATGGTTTTTGAGAGTTGTGGGTTTTGGAATTAATGCTCCGTGCTAGACTTGAAAGGCATTATGTTTATAAAAGCTGCTTTTTCAAGTCTCTCTGTAAAAAATTCAGCTGATACCACAACGTCATTTGTGCTTGAATTGCCTTTTCAAGCTTTTTCTTTATAGCCAGGAGAAGTATAAAAATTTCTGCAAAATGATGTGCCCAGAAGCTTTTTTGTTTTTTCCAGACATATCAGTTGGGCTAATAAAAAAAAAAAATTACTTGGTAAACTGTGCTCTCTTTGTGTTATCCTGGCATTTTGATATGACTTGAGAAATTGGTGCCATATGCAGTGACCTATGGTATCTGCATGTTATTCTGTGTGCAAGTATACATTGCATTTCTTGTGTAAGATGGCCTGTCATTCCCCAGGTTGTAGCTGGTGGGAACAAATACTTGACTGCGCTCTATGTGGGACAGTGTACAGAGCTAATTAATAAGCATTGCCATTTTTTTGAGGACTAAGCCCTTATTCTGTAGCGTGTGAGTGTTTTGGGGTTTTTCCCCCTACTGTTTTATCTCCATTTGAATTACTGCTATGTTTCACAAATAAACTGCCCTTTTTTTACACCTTGACAAATACTTGTTAGGCAACGTGCCTGTAACAGTGCTGTTAATACACTATAAAAACAGTTGAATTATATGAACAAGAAACTAAACGTTTCACTGAGATCTGATTTAGTCTTAAATTTAAGATACATTTAAGGTAGAAGAACAAGCTGCCGTTCTTTTTTAGTCAGACTTTAAAGGGTACCTAGAATAGCGACTAAGTTTTGTACCATTTTCCTAATGGCTGAGCTGTTGATTATAAACTTGTGGAAAACCAAGTGAAACCGATTCAGTCTTTTTCCAAAACTGAGAGCCAACATAAAATAATACGAGACTAAATGAGATGTCATGGTGTAGAGGTATTAAATTCAACATTTTAATGTTCTTCGGTGCAGCTAGCACAGATAATGGAATAATTTAAAATCTGGTTTATTTAATATTTTGCTTAAACTAAGCAAGTCTTTCTGTGAGGGCACCGTACATCATTTTTACCCTATGAGTAGTGTAGGTAGATAATCATTTATGTCTATTTGACATTAGCCATGCTGCTGGGGTATACTGTGGCTACTCACATCTTTGTGCTTTCCAGTTGTCTCTTCCTCTCCTGAGGAAGGCATGCCCAAATAAACTTTCACGTAACTTACCATTGTATATCAAAAGAAATTTCGCTTTTGATATTTCTTTGATTTAAGCCGTAGTAAAATACTACAGGAATGCATGCACATAATTTTATTTCTGTATTCAGTAGCTTAAATAATGTGGTTTAAGATTCCCTCTCCTATCCTTCCCTCCTGCTTTCCCATAGCTTAGAGTGTAGCATGAGAGGATTCTTTTTGAGCAGGGGAAATCTCAATGTGGTTTTTTTCATACTGCTGTAATGTGCAATGCACTCTGATGTTGCTTATAAAACAATAGTATGCATTGTACATTTAACTGAAATTTTTAAAAGACATTTTTGTCACTAAGTTCAAGGTCATGGATCTCATGCGTTTTCAAGGAAATTCTTGTCGTGGGCTAAAATCGTGTTTCACCTGCAGTCTGGATCTTCATTAGCTGATAGGAGGGATTTGCGGCATTGGCAATAAGTTCTGCTGGTTGCTGGCTGGCTGCCAAAGCAGGGCTGCTGTTTAAGCCAGCAGGTCTCTGCCTCTCGCCAGCCTGAAAGGCACTGTGTTTGCAAGAAGAATGCAGTGCAGGATTTTATCTCGAGTGAAAACCGACGGGCTGTCCTTGCTTTACTGAAACAATTGCGTGTTTATGATTTTGTAGTATGTGATGTCATGAGGGTGTTGGCTTTTAGGAATTTCACTACTGAGGAAGCAGTTTGAAATGCAGGCAGAATCTTCATGACCTACGCATATGCACTTAGTTTCTTTTTAGCTAGCTTTGAACAAATGTACTGATGGATACACACATACGTGTTTTTTTGGTAAGGAATTAACATATGGAATATAGAAGCGATTTAAGTGGATACAATACCTGAAGGCAATGTCGAGTCAGTCTGGATTTTCAAACTCCCTTCCTCTCCTGGGATATCCATTCTACCAGGTGTCATGCAGGTATATTGTGTTTCAAGTTCTATCTTCTAATGCACTTGCATATAGAGCTGTTGTTATGATGCTTGTATTAACAGATTTTTTTTTTTGTTTTGTTTCTATTTCTTTGTTCTCTTAAAAAACTTATGAAATCAGAGGATTAAGAAGCTGAAAAACAAATACAGTTTTAGAATGCTTTGTGCCTAGCTTTATAATTAGTTTTACATGTATTTAAAGCAAGTATTTTTTATTTCTAAACATACTAAATATTTGAGAGTTTTTCTAACTGGAAAAATGAAGTTATAACCCTGGAGATTTTTTTAAGTGAGTTATGTATTCAGATATTTCAGTCATATATTAGGAACCAGATATCTACGGTGTTGAGAAATGGAAATTATACAGATTTCTAGAAACATGAATAATTTTAATTCTTTTCATGCAAAATTGCATAAGGTAAATAAATAAAAGTACTTACTGGCAGTATGATTTTAAGGCAATTCACAAACGATGTGCACGTGTGGAAAGGTGGTAAATGCTAGCGTTTTGATAAAGCTTAATCATACAAGCTTCTTAACTGGTTTATCTTTTTGACTCAACAGTCCTGTTTTATTAAAAATCCTTCTGAGAGTGCTGTATAACAGTTTTCTAGTGAATGGGTTGGAGTCTAACCATGAAATTACTGTTCCTGCTGTGAAAGATGGTAATATTGCATAATAATTAGAGGGAATATGTTACAATACTTCCTTGGCTGAAAGATCTAGGGTTTCTGGCACACCTTAATAAAGGAATGTAATCTCTGTTTGTTGTGTCCAAATCTGAAGTCCCTGCCTCTCATGCTGCAACAGTAACAGAGGGAGGGGAATATTTGAGTTGGAACGGGAGTTTTGTGCTATTACTCATCTTTCTGTCAGACATTTGAAGAGTAGGATAAGAGAATAAGTTAATTATTAACATGTTCATATTCAGAAAATGAACCTGAGAAATAATCCTCTGAAACTGCAGCATACACAGTGGTAGGGGTTAGTTTTGTAAGGCTGCAGTGATAGTCATTTGTGAGTAGAAACAAAAGTGGTTCTGCGTCTTGTTCACTTACCCCCTTTTCTGTGTGGTTTGTGAAATAAATTCCTGCATTTATTTACGTATTTGTATCTGTAGCACTACCAGGCTGTCTGGTCAAAGGTACCAGCAGGGTTTTATTGAAACCAGAGTTAGCCATTTAGAGGTCAACCACAATGATTGCTTATGGTTGTTGTCCTTTGGCCTAACTTTGGAGGATGCTGAAGTCTAGTAGCCTTTCTCCTTTTTTTCTGGCCTTTTGTGTGATAATAGGCATGAATAAGCTGGAAATTAAAGATGACAGAAATGCAGTAAATGGCAGCTGATGTAAAAGCCTTCTCTTCCCAAAGGTATATTAGATGCTTAGTCAAATGCACACCTTTTCACTCCTACTCCCTAAGGACCAAAGCCTGCTACCCAACTCCTTGGTTTCCACAGTGACCTTCTGGACAGAATGAAGGTCTTGTGAGTGAGTTTTGAGTCCTTGCCTTTCTGTTGTGGAAAGACGTAGATTGAAGTTCCTGAAAATTTGAATCCCTGCTGTTTAACTGCATTTTGTTTTCTAGTTCTCTCCTCTCTGTTCCTTACATGTTTTAAATAGTTACTCTGCATTTCAATGAAGTCTATGTTTAATAATTTTCAGATAAGATAATTAGTTTCTGTGATATGCAACTGAGATGTTTAAGCCCTGTTTTATGTATGTAGAACTGGGTGGTCTTACTTCCTTTCATCACTAAGTCATTCCAACTTCGTGACTGTTTTTGTTCCAGTACCTATAACAAGAAATTCTTGACCTTGTGTACAACCACCACCAAGTTGACAGCTGCAACTATGTAAAATTAGTATTCCTGCAGTCATTTTAGAGCTCGTTGTCAGTGCAGAATTTTTTTTCAGAATAGTAACGTAGGTCTCTTTCCGACTGGGGAGTAATGTGGCTTACAGAAACAGGACTGAATTAGGATTTTTATTGCACTGTAGTTGTCATACTATGGTGAGTAGACGTTTCCAGGAAAATAAATAGAGTACTGTTTATTGTAATTGGTTTGTGATCTCTGTGGAGCGGGGAGGGTCAGTATACATTATGCTAAATTTGTATGTTGGCAGAGACGTTAATCTAATGGCTTGCATCTGGGATGGCATAAAAGTCTTGAACAGAGTTCTGGAAAAGCTCTGTCTTCAAGAAACTTTGCCTTTTGTGTAGACAAGATTAATTTTCTAGAGATCACAATTACCATTGGAATGGCATGGTGTTTGGAATGGGTTGTGTTTTCTGTTACACCTAAAGAGTAATAGTTTTGGTATGATATTTTTGTGGAAATGTGGTCGGAAGTGTTGAAGACCAGATGATCCTTGAGGTCCCTTCCAACCTGGTATTCTATGATTCTGTGATATTCTGGAAGAATGTACAATCAGCATTATGTTCATTTATGGTTTTCCCAATGGCTTGGGACATTGTTTCTACTCTGTGTTGGAGATGACCAAGATACAGTCTCTAAAACTAGATCACTCAGGGTGGCGTGGCCTCTTGGTTGGCTGTGAATTACGGAATTACATAAATCAGGAGTTAATCTTGGGGACTGCGTTTTTGAGCCATATTGTAACTCATTTTTGGTATCTATGCAATGCAGAATTGAGTTTCTTGGGAGTCTTTCCATATTTGGACAAAATTTACAGATTAATAGAATTTATGTTGAAATTGATAACAAATTGCTTGTTATTCCTTTTATGGTACAACATAAGAGATCTGATCTAGCTATTAGTTGTAGAAAATACTGCATGTGATTGAAAAACACTTCCTCAAGTAATTTATCATCTTTGTTTTTTACAGATTTGGTATTTAATATAGAAATTCAAAGAAAATATTACCGTCTATTATTCCTGTATTTTAAGATAAGTAGCAGCAAATGTAAAATTAGTATTGGTAGTTAAACTTTAAATGGTAGCCAAAGCATGCAAGTAAACCTGCTATGTGCCATCTTACAGTGACTAGAATGGCATTAGCCAGGTAGCTTGCATTTTTCCACTGCTTAATGTTGCAATGATACTTTTCTATCGTATCATATCATATAGAGTAGAAGGAAGTCTGTTCGAAAGTCTTTGAAAATATGCTTATAATGCTTTGATTTCCCTAAGCTTAATCAGTAGAGATTAAGAACAAAGTTTTCTCTGGCAGAGCTTGCAAAGGCTGTGCTCATGTCTTTCCCAGTTATCCTGGTATGGCAAGAGACCTTCTCTGTAAGCACATTTGCTATTTCTCATTGCTTTAGGCTGCTAGAAGAGAAGATGGTAGCCTTACGAGTTTTCTTTGACAAAAAGAAAAGGAAGAGATCTAGTGTCCTAGCCGTGTTTGACAAGAGAAGACACAGCTTTCTGCTCCACTGGGATACTAGCAGATTTAAGTCATTTTAGAAAATAGTCATTGTTTTTATGTTTGTAAATACACATTCAAACCCAATTTTGAGTAGGAGGACTTTTTTTGAGGAGAAGGAGTTATATCTCTTTCCTCACACAGAAATGTGAGCGAATACAAACCCCAACCCTGTCTCAGAGATGGAGCACTTAGTGGTGTTTCTGTAATGGAGCTAGAGTTCTACTGGTGGATGGTGATGCTCTTCATAAGAACATTCCTCTTTAGAAGAATCTTCTTGTTTCTAACACAAATGCACAGGGATCAAGACATCAGTGTTCTGCATAGTTCAGAAATCTTACATTTTTCAGTAGTTGCATTCAAAGTATCAAAACAGTTTTTAGGTTTTATCAGGGCTGCCCTTTGCCCTCACCAGTGTCAGAACCTTCTGCAGCCCTTTGTAATACTGGAATTTCATCTTCTAGGGAATTTGATGGCAACCGTGTTCTCAACAAAAGGCTGCTGTTTGCATCAAGGCTTCCTTGGAATCGCGCATGCCGTTATACCTTTTCTGTCTGGGGAGGGGGAAAGGTATCCAGTGGGAGGGAGTGAAAACTTGTAATTTTGTGAATTCAAGATGAGTCAATTGTGTCTGTGCAGTTGATTCCAAATGCAATAATGCAGATCCCATCCACTTGTAGCAATACCGTAAATAAGCAATTACAGTTGAAACTAAGCAAGCAGCTGACAGTGCTCAACTGTGGAAAGGGAAGAGATCTTTTCCTTTGAGGAGGGAGCCACTGCCCACTTCAAATGTTGGTCTTTAATTAGCATCCATTTCTTAAATTAAAAAAAAAAAGTGCTGCTGTATTTTAGATGGGGGAATGAATATCACCTCCATGTTGTAGAGTGTTAGGGGAAAGCGAGTGTTTTTGAAGACACCAAACAATTACTGAGTTTTCTATGGAGCATAATCTGACAAGTTGGTAGCATAATCTGACAAATTTAGTTAAATTAAAATCTCTGAGAAGTTATGAGGTCAGGCAAATAGCAATCAAGAGTAACGGAAAAAAAAACCCCTTAAAGTCCTGGGTAACTATTTAGTGTTGCTGCACTAAATATTCAGCAATGTACATGTGTATGATGGGGATTTACAATTTCATTTTTCTTGGAATAACTAAATCAGTTGAGCAAAACTTCCTGTATTTTTTCTTCTTTGTTGGTTCAGAGCTGTTCCCTTTCCCCTGTAGGGAGAAGAGGAGGAGAAAGGGGAGGGCAGAGTTTTTGACAAAATTGACAAAATATATGCAAGAACATGGTGTGCTAAATTTGAGCTGGCCTTAGAAGCTGTTTCCCCATAGAATTTGATTTTTATATATGTCTACAGTAAAATGTAGCTTTCCTATTGGGAGAGGGATATCAGTCTCTGCTTTTTACATGGATAATTCCTTTTTCACGACTTGGGAAGAACTAGTGAAGAAAGCTGGTGCTGCTATCGTTAGCTATCTCCTTTATGTCTAAAAAGAAATCTATTGAATTCAGATTTAAGTAAGAGAGGGAACGATCAAAATCTGAAGAAGACGGTTCAGTTTTATATATTTTATCTTCTGCAATATTTAAA